GTTCACTTAACCTTTGCATTGTGTGTCTGTCTGTGCCACACTAAGCATGGACAACAGAAAGAGGAGACGAGAACTGTCTGAGGACCTGAGAACCAAAATTGTGGCAAAATATCAACAATCTCAAGGTTACAAGTCCATCTCCAGAGAACTAGATTTGCCTTTGTCCACAGTGCGCAACATTATCAAGAAGTTTGCAACCCATGGCACTGTAGCTAATCTCCCTGGTCGTGGACGGATGAGGAAAATTGATGAAAGATTGCAACGCAGAATAGTCCGGATGGTGGATAAGCAGCCCCAAACATGTTCCAAAGACATTCAAGCTGTCCTGCAGGCTCAGGGAGCATCAGTGTCAGCGCGAACTATCCGTCGACATTTAAATGAAATGAAACGCTATGGCAGGAGACCCAGGAGGACCCCACTGCTGACACAGAGACATAAAAAAGCAAGACTACAGTTTGCCAAAATGTACTTGAGTAAGCCAAAAGCCTTCTGTGGGGGAAAACGTCTTGTGGACAGATGAGACCAAAGATAGAGCTTTTCGGTAAAGCACATCATTCTACTGTTTACCGAAAACGGAATGAGGCCTACAAAGAACAAAACACAGTACCTACGGTAAAATATGGTGGAGGTTCAATGATGTTTTGGGGTTGTTTTGCTGCCTCTGGCACTGGGTGCCTTGACTGTGTGCAAGGCATCATGAAATCTGAGGATTACCAAAGGATTTTGGGTCGCACTGTAGGGCCCAGTGTCAGAAAGCTGGGTTTGCGTCCAAGATCCTGGGTCTTCCAGCAGGACAATGACCCCAAACATACGTCAAAAAGCACTCAGAAATGGATGGCAAAGAAGCGCTGGAGAGTTCTGAAGTGGCCCAGCAATGAGCCCAGATCTAAATCCCATTGAACACCTGTGGAGAGATCTTAAAATTGCTGTTGGGAAAAGGTGTCCTTCCAATAAGAGAGACCTGGAGCTGTTTGCAAAGGAAGAGTGGTCCAAAATTCCGGGTGAGAGGTGTCAGAAGCTTATTGATGGTTATAGGAAGCGACTGATTTCAGTTATGTTTTCCAAAGGGTGTGCAACCAAATATTAAGTTAAGGGTGCCAATACTTTTGTCCAGCCCATTTTTGGGGTTTTGTGTGACATTATGTCATATTTGCTTTTCTGCCTCTGTTTTATATTTGTTCCAATACATACAAAGGGAATAAACATGTGTATAGCAAAACATGTGTTAATGCAATACCTTTTTTGTGTGAAATACTTGATTTTCAGGAAAAATATCAAGGGTGCCAACAATTTCGGCCATGACTGTAGCTGTGAGTTTTGATTAAGCTCTGATTTTGCATGAAACATGCTAGCTGGTTATGATGTTCCCCCATCGTTGTTTTTATAAAGATTGCTACAATAAATGTGATTTTATTGGATGTGTGGCCAAACAGAATCTTTCCTAGACCATTGAGTCTGGTAGACATGGCCAGCACTTGGTAGTGTGATAGTTGAGGTGGAACAGGAGACCAACCTGGAATGGTGTCTGCTTTTGGTCTGCACAACTGCTAGTACCCAGTGCAATCTCCAGAACACTGTACAGTCACAGGAATCAGTTTAGGGTTTTTACTCACAAGTCCCTAGAACAGTTGAGCAACTTCCAGCTTCAGACACAATCCAGTGAGTGAGACAGTCTTTCTCACATCCCCTTGGAGAAATCCTGCAGTCAGTTCCAGGTCACTTCCAGGTCCCAGTCCAGCACCTACTGGGACCTCACAGAATTGCAACCCAGTCCATAAGCTGCCTCAGGGGCAACAGCCCCCCTGAAGCTGGGAAAACTCCTTACTGGGGACAGGCAATCTTTTCAGGGCTCCAGACTATTTATCAACTGACCAACCACCATCTGGGCACACCTCCCCAAGGATTGGCTAGGCCCTGATATTCAGGCTGGTAATTTGAATTCTCTCTCCCTAGTCTCTAGAAGCTTCTGCTAGAGGCAGGGGGAAGCAATCAAACTCTCAGCCTGTGAAATCCTGAACTATTTATCAACTGACCAACCACCATCTGGGCACACCTCCCCAAGGATTGGCTAGGCCCTGATATTCAGGCTGGTAATTTGAATTCTCTCTCCCTAGTCTCTAGAAGCTTCTGCTAGAGGCAAGGGGAAGCAAACTCTTAGCCTGTGAAATCCTGAACAGGCCTAAGGAGGAGGGCACTACATACACTTTAAACTGTCACTAAACCCAGGACCCTTCATTCACTATATCTGGTCTCCCACAGTACACAGAACATGGAGATACAATTATTTTAGTAAAATATAAACTGCAAAATGTCTTTTCTCATCAGCAGGTAGAGCAGTCTTGTGACTTTTATCAGTGCCCAGCAGAGCACTGGTTACACTTGTAGGAGGAGTTTTCATTCTCCCCTGATTGTCCTATGAGGCTGCATAACCCCTGACCCTCTGTCTGGACAGCGCTGATTGGCCCTGTGCGGGTCACATGTACTCTCCTGAAAAAAAAAAACTCTCTAGCAATACACATCAAACTGAGCATGTGCAGCTTGCCCCCAAGGCTCTATTCTATCAACAAATTGATTAGGGATAGTAGAAGAAGGGGAGGATCAGAGACGACAGGATCTAACAGCCTTTTTTAAACAACGCAGAGGATTAACCCCTTAGGTTCCACAGTAAGTGTAACAAGTATGCTTTACTGCATATACAGACTGATTTTATTGTTGTGGGTTTAGTAACACTTTAAGAGCTAACACAAAATGTATCAATGCTCTGCCAGGCTAATATCTGATGGGAGTTTTACAATGAACACAGTTGCAGAGGGAGACTCGTAGCTTTACCTTTCATTAGGACAGGGCTGTTGCCAGCTTCCGAAAGGCCAAAGAATAACAGCACTTATTTATCCCCTCCGGTTGCAGAGCGATTAGGCCAATCACTACGTACAGTGAATGCTTGCACGTAGCAAGCCATAGGCGGTTTCAAGTGATAGTGTAGCCATTCTCAGACCTTCACTATGTACTTATCCCAGGGGCTGGTTAGCAAATGTGCTTAGCCCCTAATTACACACAGTAATTCAGTGTTGAACATAATGTAACGCAAATGCAATCTGAGAGGTCACACAGAGTTTATTATACATTAATTATCTACAATTAATTCTCTGTGATGGAAGTCACCTACTGCTTTGCGCAGTCAGAACGGATCTGGAAAATATCTACTTAGTATGCTATTGGTTTCTGTTCACATATTCATATATCCAGGTGAAACCCAAATCTGGCTCCTCCCTCCCTCGTCTGACTTTGGAATATTATTACATCACGTAGAGGAGCCGAAGGAGAGGAAACTTTCTATGATGTTCACAGTCATCAATCAGGCTCTAATTGTTCAGGCAAGAAAATAAAAAAAAAGGATCAGTCACATTAAAATCATTATTCCGTAACAATCAGAATTGTATTTTTGATTGATGTGTGCTTGAAGAATGATCAAATAAAGAATCAATTACCTTATACACTGGCAAAAAAAAAAATGCCTTGATTTTGTTAGATATTTGATGCAGTTAGTGCTGGAGGTGATTTAATAATCTCCTTTCTGTAATTAAAGCTGAACTCCAGGCAAGCACCTGAATACACAGTTGAAATATGTGAACTGAATGATCTACTATACCATTTGTAATTGTGTCCGGCCACGTTTGTGTTTTATAGGCCTCTGTCAGACAGCCCATGCAGGAGGGTAACACCGCAATCTTTGTTAAAGTGTTACTAAACCCACAACAGTAAAATCAGTTTGTATATGCAGTAAAGCATGCTGGTTATACTCACCGTAGAACCTACGAGGTTAATTCTCTGCATTGTGTGAAAAGGCTTTTTGATCCTGTCTTCTCTGATCCTCCCCTTCTTTTACTGTCCCCAATTCATCTGCCATAGTACAGAGCAGCAATGAAAAGTCTGCACATGCTCTGTTTTGTGTGTATTGCTAGAGAGTTTTTTAATATTTTTGTTGGGAGCTTGCATGTGATCAACACAGGGCCAATCGGCGCTGTTCAGACAGAAGGTTAGGGGTCATGCAGCCTCATAGGACAGTCAAAGGAGAATGAAAACTCCTCCCACAATATTAACCAGTGTTTAGCCGGACACTGATAGAAGTCACAAGACTGCTCTAACTGCTGATGAGAAAAGGTATATAGCAGTTTATATTTTCTAGAATCATTGCATTTCTATGTTCTGTGTACTGTGGAAGACCGGATATAGGAAATTCAGGGTCAGGGGTTTAGTAACACTTTAAAGTGTCACTAAACCTACAACAGTAAAATCAGTCTCTATATATGCTTGTTATACTCATTGCGGAACCTAAGGGGTTAATCTTCTGCATTCTGTAAATAGGCCGTTTGATCCTGTTTTCTATGGCCCTCCTCTTGTTCAAATGTCCATGTCTTATGTCCTGATAAGACAGACTGAACCCGTAGCCACATGCACATGCTCAGTTTGGTGTGTATTGCTAGAGAGGTTTTTTTTTTTTTTTTTTTTTTTTTTTTTCTTGAGAGAGTGCATGTGATCAACACAGGGCCAATCAGCATGTCTGGACAGAGGTCAGGGGTTTTGCATCCTCCTAGAGCAGTAAGAAAACTCCTCCTACAAGCTTTAACCAGTGTTCAGCTGGATACTGATAGAAGTCACATGACTGCTCTAACTGCTGATGAGAAAAGGTATATAGCAGTTTATATTTTCTAGAGTAATTGGATTTCTATTTTCTGTGTACTGTGAAAGACCAGTTATAGTGAATGCAGGGTCCGGGGTTTAGTACCATTTTAAAGCTGAGCTCCAGGAATGAATATGTGCATTGGTCCAACTTGCCACAATGTACGTATACATAGGGAGCAGGTGGCTGTATAAAGCCCAGCATGTGTCTCGGACTGCAGACCTTGCTTTGATCAATGTCTGAATGGTGAAGTAACTCCACTCAGAGCCACCAGTCCAACATAAGTAGAGGCCCAGGGGCAGGGGCGGACTGACAACTCATGGGGCCCCGGGCAATAGGGGATCATGGGGCCCTTGTGTCCTTGCCCAAACTCAAAAAAGCCTATGAAAAAGGTACCAGGGGCATCTCATGGGGCCCCCTACTGACCCCGGGCTTTCGGGCAGTGCCCAAGTTTCCAAATGGTCAGTCCGCCATTGCCCAGGGGGAATTGCACTCCTGCCCTCCCAGCCCAGTCCTCCTCTGACATGTGCTGACAAGAGGAGAAAACAGAGTGAAATAAGTTGATGACGTGTCGATATGTTTCTGCTTCTTCATTGTCCATTCGGAAGGCTGGGAGTGGAGAAGTGACACTATGGTTTTCCTTACCTTTCAAGCCAAACTCCAGGAATGATCTGTTATTGTATACTGTATTGGCACAGTACAAGTATACATATCCCATACCTGATAGGCCGCTGGAGAAGCTAGAAATAACTGTAGTAGTCAGTGCTAGCCATGATCATCTGGGTTCAGCTGGGGTTCTGTGCTCCCCCTCTGCACACTAGCTAAGCACTGACACCATTCAAAGAAGGCCTTGTATTTTTTTCCCAATGCATACAAGATATTCTCTGATTGGACAAGGGGGAGAGGATGAGCAGGAACGTCACGGTCTCCACTTCATTCAGTCAGAAAATGGCTTGTATTTATTGAAAAAAAAAAGGTACGACCTTCTGTGAATGGTGGCTGTGCCAAGTTATTGGCCCTCTGCGGTCAGTATGGACCTAATAGCACAGGTATATTGGTTCAACTTGGGCCAATGTATGATGCATATTTCATACCTGTGTGGAATCCCTGTGGAAGCTGCAGATCACTATACTGTAGTAGTCTCTGTGCTAGTACAGTGGTGGCTGCTATCTTCCGGGTCCTGTGTCAAGTGAACACAGGGGTTATCTGCATGGCACATGCACCATGAACAGAATGCCTTGCATTTTTTCTCAATGAACAAACGGTGTTCTCTGATTGGACAAGGTGGGTCAGTGGCATTACAATTCAGCAAACCACAAATCTCGCAAACCAAAAAAACTAGTCTTACACGGAGTTGATCTTACAAGTGAACCTGTCACTTTCCTGATTCAGAGACACCCCCTCCACTGGTTACTAACAACTTCATTGCACTCATCCATTGCACTGTGTGCCTTCTCAGAATAGAAAACCCTTTGTAAACTTTTCACCAGTTCGAAGTGATTCTAAATGTATTTTTTTTTAAATACCAAATATGTCATACTTACCTTCTCTGTGCAATGGTTTTGCACAGAGCAGCCCTGATCCTCTTCTTCTGGGTTCCCCCACCGACGCTCTGGACTCCTCCCTCCTATCGAGTGCCCCATAGCAAGCTGCTTGCTCTGGGGCACTCCTGTGTGCTCGCTACTGAGCCTGTTCTGTGTGTCCATTGACACACAGAGCGCTGCTCAGTCCCGCCCCCCACTTTCTCCCCACTGGCAGTAATTGACAGCAGTAGGAAGCAATGGCTCCCGCTGCTGCCTCTCTGTACATTGAGGAGAGGGAGAGCTGAGAGAGCTTCTGTTGTTGGGCACAGATCTGGATCAAGATCAGGCTCAGGTTCGCATTTATAGGGAGGAGCTTTTTTTACCTTAACGTATAGAATGCATTAAGGAAAAGAAAAACCTAGTATCTTTAGAACCATTTTAAGTCAGACTTACAATGATGTAATAATTCCTGCGTATGCCTCCATCTATGGAGCTGGCAATTGGCCATTCCAGTACCATGCAATGTATAGAGGGAGGAAGGGGAGAAGGTCACATGGTTCACCTTACCCGGGAGTACGGAGAATTTACAAGACCTCTGGTTGGGGTGGAGTATGGCTAAGATAGGCATCAGAAGAAGACATGGTGGCTATAAAGAGTACCTGTTGTTTTAGCCTGAGATTGTCATAGAAAGATTTTATTTTAAAGATAATTACATTGCATCTGTTCACCACAATAGAAATGTACTTCCCATTTTTAAAAGAAAAAACAAAGCTCTGTCACATTGCCTCTAGTGGGACACAGCTGAGCAAACAGCAAATGCCTCCCTGTGAGCAAAAAGAGTTAACAGCTAAATCCTTCCCTAGGCCTATTTAAATCTACGCCGAACGCATTCGGATCCAAGTCATTTCCGCACATTATCATACACTTTTTGCTTCATTTATTTTGCTCTGTCCCTGGAAAAATTGTGTGTCTTATTTTCAGTGTGATTACATTTTCATCATGACATATTCGCAGCCTCAGACAATGGGGCCGCGGCTCTCGGAGCTGACTCATGGAAGTGGGAGCTATCGAGTACGTAAAGAGAAAAAAAAATCTGTCCAGCTTGGTGCGTGCAATGAATCCTAAACTTGTATGAGACAAAAGAAGAAGAAGAGAGGCAGAGAGGGCAGAAGCAGGAAGAATAGGAGAAAGGAAGAAGATGTAACAAGAGTAAATGGAGGGTGTAAAATGGGAAAAGGAAATAAATGTAATTGATAAAAAGACAGAAAGGGAAAATAAGTCATTTAAAGAGAATGTGGCATTGGACATCACATCCTTATTCATTAAAGATGGCACTTAAAAAATAAAAAATATGTTTTCTGTTGTCAGGCAGGAAAATATAAAATATAGCATGCCATTTTGCTTTCTCCTTTTCAGCCAGCAGGTGAAGCTCTGGGTTCCATTTATTGTTTCTAATCTCACTTCTTTCTTTCATTTAAAAGAACTGTTTACAGAGCTTAATAGCTCAAGCTGAAATTTACACACAAATCTGAATGACTCACGATGACCTATATTTTATCAGATGGTTATGGGCTGAAGATTCAGACAAAAAAAGCCTCAAAACAAGCTTTATCTGCTTTTGATATCTCTATAGCAGGGGCGGACTGACCATTTGGAAACTTGGGGCACTGCCCGAGGGCCTGGGGTCAGTAGGGGGCCCCATGAGATGCCCCTGGTACCTTTTTCATAGACTTTTTTGAGTTTGGGCAAGGACACAGGGGCCCCATGATCCCCTATTGCCTGGGGGCCCCATGAGTTGTCAGTCCGCCCCTGCTCTATAGCTCAGCTTTTCTCAACCAGGGTGCCCAGGCACCCTGGGGTGCCTTGAGGTTTCCTCAGGTGTGCCTTGGCAAAATGTCTAAAAGTTGCCCAAACCTTGTATACAAGCCAGCAGGTGGAACAAGCCTGCCTTTTAGTTATACAAAGTCACAGATTTTCATTGTGCACCATTACGACCTTCTAGCTTCTGGCATCCTGACAACCAATGACATCATCAGTTGATGAGGAGGATGTCGGCTGCCTGCAGAGCATCCTAGTTTGACCCTCCCTTGCCCCTCTCCATCAGTGCTGGGGTCACATTAGCTCAGTGATGGAGAAAAACTGAGGGAGAAGAGAAACACTGGAATACTAGTCAGTACCAGTGTGCAAAAGTGTATTTGCTTTGGAAGAATAAATCACCTCTAATGTTGGGTGTCCTATGTGTGTGGATGTTTCTGCCTTATATAAAGCTATTAGAATAGTTTTTCAAATTTTAGAATGGGGTGCCTCAAGACTGTCCATAATTTTAACCGTTTCAATACCGTGCAATTTTACCCCCTTCCTGCCCAGGCCATTTTTCCCGTTTCAGAGCTCTCACACTTTGAATGACAATTGCGCGGTCATACAACATTGTACCCAAACTAAAATTTTATCATTTTCTTCACACAACTAGAACTTTCTTTTGGTGGTATTTAATCACCGCTGGGGTTTTTATTTTTTGCTAAATTAACAAAAAAAGACCAAAAATTTGGAAAAAAAAAAAAAGTTTTTCTTTGTTTCTGTTATAAAAGTTTACAAATAAATAATTGTTCTTCATAAACTTAGTCCGAGATGTATTCTGCTACATGTCTTTGGTGAAAAAAACACAAATTAGGATGTATTTTTTAGTTTGTAGGAAAGTTATAGAGTTCACAAACTATGGTATAGATCTGAATATTGATCAATCCTGAAGTACTGACGGCCAATCTAATTTCTTGAGGTCCAAGAATGTCAGAACAGTACAGATATCCCCCAAATGACCCCTTTTTGCAGAGTAGACAGTCCGACGTACTTCATAAGAGGCATGGCGAGTTTTTTGAAGTTGTATTTTTTTTGTCATAATTTTTCGGAAAATGAAAAAATTAAAAAAATTTGTTTCACTATTTTTTTTTTTTACATATTGTCACCAGTGCAGTACAGCGTCATCATATAACTGGCATGGCAGGGATCAGGGACACTGACTGGTGACAGTATGAAAAAAAAAAATTTTTTTTTATTTTTTTTATTATTTTTATTAAATTCTTTTTCTTTTTTTTAAGATTTTTTTTTTCATATTTCACTATGACCAAAGTAGTACAATGTTACTATGGTACTACTTTGGGGAAGTGATCAATATTTTTTTTTTCTTACACAATTTGCTTATAGCAAAGAATTACTTTGCTATAAGCAAGCATTTACCTGAATGACATCGATTCATTCAGGGTTTTTTTTTTTTTTGTGCTTAGCTGTGATTTGGCCACAGCTTTCACATGACATATGCATGTGATTAGCTGTGACCATTCACAGCTAGACACTAGTATACAATGGATGGCATGAATGAAGCCATCCACTGTATACAACTGTCATGTGACCTGCTGTGATTGGTCACAGCAGGTCACATGGTACCGGCAACGGGGCCGATACTCAGATCTGTCATCGGCCGTGTCCGAGGTACACAGCCGGTGACAGATCCCGCCGCTGCGCCACTCTGCAGGAGCGCAATCTGCGCATGTGCGGGAGCACGCCATATGGCGTCCACCCGGAACGCTGATGGCATTTGCCGCCTGCCATTCAGCCATAGGGCGGGCGGCAAATGGTTAAAGGGTGCCTTGACTGAAAAAAAGTTGAGAAACACTGCTTTAGCTAATCTATCGTGCTCTGGGAATTCAGTGTCATTCTTTGTCAATGTTGTTTTATTTTCAACACAAATTGTACATTTTTAAAACAACTAAAATGTGACCCAAAACTATAATTACTGTTTACTGTTTCTAATCTAGGCTCTTCCATTTCATTTTTCATGTAAAAGAATTATTTACAGAGCTCAGTAGCTCAAGCTGAAATTAAAGCTGGCCATAGACGGTTCAGATATTGGCC